GGTGGGCTGAGCTAGACACATACACACACACACACACACACACACACACACACACACACACAATAAATAAATTTTAAAAAAGCTTAAAAAATGTAAAAAGAAAAAGTAGCTGGATTAGAATGAAGAGAGTAGCTTATAGGTAAGGAGTCTGCTAAGATCACCCAGAATCCATGGAAGTGGGGAGAGGCTTGAGTACAACTGGTGTCCATGCAAGTGGGGATTGACACCAGGGGGCCCAGAGCTAGGAGTGGCCAGCACCGGTCTGACAGCTGGAAGACTCTTGCTAGCTATACACGGTCTCCCTCCTTGGCTTAGATAATCTCCTGCCTTTCTCTTGAACCTCAGCGGCCCTGCAAGCATAAGAAGATGGCCTTTTTCCTTCCTGGCACTCCAGAAGGTGATCCCTAACAATTCAGTCATAACTCAGAAAGGCACATACAGACCACACATCCCAGATCCTATCTTCCTCTGCCCCTCACTGAGCACCTTGGTCTTCTGGCATCCTCTTGTCCCTGGAAGGTGACCCTGGAGGCAGGGCAGCTGGTAGGGTCCATTTAGAACCCTTGCCTGCCATTCTCTGCTCTGCCACTGACTGACCCTAAGCCTGTTCCCTGTAACATCTTGCAGGGTCTGGTCCCAATGTCAGGCTCAGAAGAGCCCTGACCCTAGTCACAAAGTAACCTTCCCATTCTTGAAGAAAAACTGGTTGAGAGCCTACAATGTGGTAGACACAATGCTAGCACTGAAGATATAGGTACAAGGGAGACAAAAAAAAGGTCCTTGTTCTCATGGAGCTCAAATTTGGTGCAAAATATATTGTCTCAGAAAGGAAACCAGGAAGGGAGGACAGAATGTGTAGGGAGGTGTGAAAAGCAGAAGGCTTCCTGAGAAGGTGGTGTTGAGGAAAGACCTGGAGGGAAGGGGAGGGAGTGACGCACGTGGACACTTGGGGGAGAGCACAGCCGGCTGAGGGAAGAACTCATGCAAAGCCCACGAGCAGGGAGCCCCAAGGGGCCACTGTGCTGGAATGGAAAGGCCAGGCTGTGGATGAAGATTGGGTCAGAGAAATAAGGATGTGGGTGGACTGAAGCCAGGCCCAGGTTGGCATGAGGACAAGGAACAGGGCAGAGGTAAGGGTAGTCTGTGGAGGAAAAGACAGGTCCTGGGGCAGGAAGGGAAGAGAGAAGGAAGGAAGGAAGGAAGGAAGGAAGGGAACGAGGGAGAGAGAGGCAGCCAGGATGGGTTGGACATCATAGTAGCAGAAGCTTGTGGGTCTTTGTTCTTGGCTTTGCACTCTTATACATGTATCCTCTCTCTCCTCCTCCTCTTCCTACACACACACACACACACACACCTGCTCTTCTGTTCTCTCAGTCCCAGCATAGCATGCACTGGCTATGCGGCCTAAATAGTACTCTTCTCATCTGGGCCTTGAAGCCTCATGTTACTATCCATTCTCTGTCCTGTCCCCTTTCTGGTTGCGGCTTCAATTGTGATGGGAGAAGGAATTGGCCAGGAATAGCTCCTAGCCTTAGGCCAGACCCCTGTGTGGATTTCCTGATAAAGGTTTGATCTTCAGCCTGGTGATCCAAGCTTTGGGAAGGTTCCCTTACTTCCTGTATAGCCTGTTCGCTGTTTACTCTCTAGGCTTCTAACAGACACTGGCATCACTGGGCTCTGGTTGGTTTTACTGAGTCTTCCCTCAGATGGGGCCTAGGAATCCCACCTACTGAGGACCTAGGAAGATGTGGGACAGCTGTCTTAG